TCATCTTGTAACTTCCTGTGCTTTCTGCCCGTGCAGTTATCTGATACATTGAGGGAAATTTATCAAAGCTGGAGCAGGCAAAACCTGGAGCAGGTATCCAAGGCAGCCGATCAGCTTCTACCTTTTATTTTCAAAGCTTAGCTAAACAAACTGAAGAGAGAAGCTGATTGGTTTCTACGGGCAGTTGCTCCAGATTTTTTCTGCTCCAGTTTTGATAAATTCCCCCCATTGTTTCAAGTCTCTGTGAAAACAGAACATGATGACGAGGAGAGGGAGGCTGTTTTGTACTCCCGATGTAAGGTGAGAACGCTGCTCCTCCGCAGTAGTAAGTGAGCATTGTCACTCTAGGACAGGCAGTTTGTTAGTGGCAGGATCACCAGGTTAACATAAGCATGAGAAAAAAAAAGTAAGGCAGCCACCTCATTTATTAACTGGTAAAGTGCAATATATTACATTTCAGGTCTTGGGTTTAGATACGCTTTAGGTTTTTAGAGGTACAGGAGCTGAAAGCCAGAGACCAGAAATACCATGCCTAAGCTTGGTTATATCTAATGTCTGAGCACAGAACTTGGGACTTGCCATAAGTGACATCCAAGTCAGTTCAGAGGAGGAAATATCCTGGACTCAATGCTTTCCAGATAAAATAAGCAATTTCTTAATAAGCAGATTAGTGTTTCATCATATTTTGTATTTAAATGGCTTTGGGGCACACCCTGCGAAATCCACGTCTCTAAATTTCATCCGCCTCTGTTTCCCAATTCCCATATCATCCTCCCTCTGAGCTCGTGGAAACTCAGGGCAAATTTTGGCTCAGCTTTACAGCTCTTGCACAGAACAGTATTAAGTGACAAGAGGCTGCAGCCTCACCCATAAGCACTGTGAAAGCTTGGCGGTTTTAGTTAATTATATCAAAGCGGACCTTTCCGCCCTTTCTCTAAAAATCACATCAGCATTCAGCTCTGCATGCTAATATGAAATAATGTGTCTTTCATTAGTTAAAAAAAACAAACATATTTCTCTTACTTACAATTATTGTTTTTCACGTCCTGGCATTCATGGGCATTAGTGATATAAGGTGCCCAAGCGTTGCATCCTGGGAAGGTTACATCAGCAGAGGATTGATGGGAAACCTCATCTGTAATCTCATGAGATCTCAGGGAAAGGCATTTTCCTCCCCTGAGATGATGTGCCATGGTCACATGTCCTAGTCACATGTGCCAGAGTTCCAGGACGTAAAGGGAGATCTAGTAACCTGCCCTTAGTTAAAATGGCCATTGTCAGAAGAATGGCGAGGAAAAAAAAAAGGACCCATTCACACTTCATGCACCAAAACTCTTGGATTTTGCTGCATGAAAAAGAATGTCGGGTAGAAATCCCATTCTTTCCTATGTGACAGGTTCACATCTATGTGCTGCAGTTTAATGTAAAAGACAAAGGGAAAGTCTGTGGACTCATTCGCACCTATACATGTGCAATAGCAGGCGTGCTTGCATGCTCACGGAGCATTGTAAATCCAGCCGTACTGACTTAATTTGCCAGGTCAGAATTAGGCCTCATTCACACTGCTAAGAGCCGACCCGTACAGATCCGTGCGGCATGCGCGGTTGTATCGGGCCGCTTCCGGGAAGGACAGGTGCTGCGTGTGATTGTACGCAGCAGCCTGTTCTTCACTATGGGAGTACGTGGCCGTACACCGCCGTACGCTCACCCGAACTGCACATCCGTGCGGGTGTCCGTGCTAGGACGCAGACAGGATCCATCCTGCACAGATGTGCAGCTCGGGTGAGCGTCCGGCCGCATACTCTCATAGAGAAGAACAGGCTGCTGCGTACAATCACACGCAGCACCTGTCCTTCCCGGGAGCGGCCCTATACAGCCCTGCACGCCACACGGATCTGTACGGTCCGGCTCTTAGCAGTGTGAATGAGGCCTTAAAGTCATGGTTTGAGCATTAGATCCTGTTGGACATTATTTACTATTAGATCTCAGGGGGTACCAATATTTTTAGATTTAGATCCCAAAGCCTTTTTATTACACAGTATTACACCTTTAGCTGGTGGAGTGACCAATGAGGGGGGGCGGGGGGCAGAAGAGGTAGAGATATCTGGCAGCTTTTAAAGGCACCCATCAAATCACTGCCATAATAGTGCTGTTGTGTGTGGACCAATAACAACATTTAGCAGACAAAGAAAGTTGGATCCTGCTTGGTCCTTTAAGAAGAAAAATAACAGAAAACTAAAATATGAGTGCCCATTGCTTTTATGGATTTAAAAGAGAAAGCTTTACAGTTGACAGTCCAATTCTGGGACTCACTGACGTGGGACAAGCATGTAGCTAGGGAAGTTTAACTTCTAGTTTATTTGTTTCAGGTCAGTGACTAACAAGGTAGTTAGACCCGGATCGGAATGACTACACTTTAAAGAACTAGCCAGTAATGGCAGCTTTCAAATCTGTATCCTCACATACAGTATAATAAAATAAATGCAGGTCTGGCTATGCAAGAACCACTGATAAAGTGCATTCTATAACAGCCACTGAGATTTAACTTTATGTCAGTTTGGTTAAGAGATGATTTTGAATTGGCTGCTTCAGGTTACTATACTCTGTACATCATCATGGCTCTGACACCTTATTGCATAAGCTGTTTTGTATTCATTCTTTAGCAGCACCAACAGAAGCCTCATTTGCGTGTATCGTTAAACTTGCCTCTTGACATGTGCATTCCCTTTCCAGGAAGTAATATTGAATTGCTGTATATGCAAGAAACAGGTATTACCAAGATCCATCTTTAGCAATGAAGTAGATTTTCTACTTGCATGCATATTCAACATATTTGTATAAATGAGAGGGTTGTGAAACTGGATTCCTTTTAAAGAAAGACTCCTGTCTAATACAAAAGCAGAATATTGTTACACAGCCATTGAAATCATGTTATACAGTACATCCAACTATCATTTTATCTCCTTTCCCTGTTAAAATAGGGAGTGCAGTGCAGGAAATGACATCCTGAAAATTTTGTGTCTGCCCACATCACAATAAAAATGGTTAGGGTTGCGCAGATACCAAGTACAGTACTCGGTACAAGTACGAGTACATGTACCGATACTTTTGAGCTCCAAGACTACACTAGAGAAAAATTAAAAAATTAGGAGGCAGCTGTCATTTGTAAGGAGCACACGGAGCTCCTGGGATTTGTACATCTCTGTTTTAATGTACGATTTTGTTTTTATAAATATAAATAAAGGGATGCACAGATACCAGTTTTGCGAGTACGAGTACTGGTACTTGCCGAGTACTTACAAGTACGAGTACTGATACATTTTTGTTTATTGTAATGTGACAGTTTTTCTAAAGCAATACAGACTAATGATTTCAGGACAGTGGTGGCGCGCCAGAGCCCGGCCCCAGCTGCAACCGCAGCAACCCTGGTACTTCTCATGAAAATGCCAAGTATCTGCACTGGTACTCGAAAAGTATCTGTGCATCCCTAAAAATGGTGATTGAATGCTTAGCTTACTAGAGGCATTGCTCATTGCATTATAGGGGTGCTTTTATAGTCCAGGTATTCTCATCTGTGACATGCTAATTAGGAGAAGAAAGCCCATTCAAGTCATAATGTTTTGAGGAGATACTGTTAGGTCTCTAATGAACTAAAACGGCACTCCTTTGCAGGAGAAAAGGTGGAGCATTGACCTCGCTTGTGTCCTGTTTCCTCTGGTCCAACGCTGCAGTCTCTCAGCATTTGACAGTTCTGGGAGGGTATCCTGCTGTGCACTGTTCCTTCCTCCGATCACCTTGTCACTACAGAACTGTGCAGTGGCGGCAGGGGTCAGAACACCCATTCTGAGAATTAGAAACTTCAACATTTAGCTAGGTAAAGCAGGACCTTCCGTGACCCTTTCTCGAACCTGCTTCAACCAAGTGGTCACTGAGCCAAATGATGACCACACAGGTCACCTGCAGTCAAGCTAACCCAGGATCATTCAGGAGATAAGAAAACCTACATCCACATGGATTTAGGTCAAAGGCAGCCCGATACAGAAGTCTTATGCCAGGATTATTATCAGGAGGTAGCCAGGCTATCAACTGTGCATCAAGCAGCCTTTTGAGGGACTTTGCTCTTGTGATGAACAACGTGGTAGTGCTAGCTGTCTCCAAACAATCTGAGGACGTGACGTAGGGAAACAGAAAGTATGCTTCTGCAATAACCTGTTCAGCCTGCTCTGTCCATCAAACAGAGAAAAGGCAGGCTCACTTTGCCCATCCTTTCACATATGTAATAAAAGAAGATACAGAAACAGTAATGAGCATTCTGGTTTCCAACCTGAGTATATTTTTGGTCTTCTCTAGCTACAAACGGGACCATTATAATAAAAGGGTATAGCCTTGCGTCACTTAGTACAGATAGCCATAATGATAACGGATATTTAAGATCTTAAATAAATATTTTAGAAAACAGTTGCCCTTAGAACATAAAAGGTGACTCAACATATAAAGCCCAACTCTAGCCAAACTTTGTACTTTTGGATAGTCAGCAAAAATCACAATCTCATGTTTTTATTTCTGTTGAGGCCTCTCCCTGCCCCTGTGATGCCCACAGCAATAAAAACATTGTCAGAAGTCCTAACCCTATCCAACTCTGCTCAAAATATGTTCCTGCTTTCTGCTCCAGTTTTGATAAATTCCCCCCAATGGGAAACCAGGAAGTTGCTGGAAGTGATAGGCAGATGGAAGGCAGCACTCACTACATAAAAGGGATTTTAAACAAAATAAGCTTTGATTGAATTATCAACAACAACTCTAGTATGTATTCCTATTTATATATATCCTCCTTTAACATTTCTTGGCTTTGCTTAGCCAGCTTTATTCAATTTTATAGCCACATATTTCAATGTACAATCTGAACACAACTTCTCTTATGATACAAAGATTTATTTTTTACTATTATTACTGCTCAGTAATATAAACATTGAATATCTCTCAATATTTTGTCATTTCAGGCCGGCACATATTTGAAAGATGGCGATAGACTCTCACAAAGGTCAAGACCTGGTCTACACCAATGCCCCAGTGTTCCCACCATTCAGTCTGTCTCAATCTAATGGGGTTATGAAAAATAAAATGTGTGAACCTGGAAACCACTTTGTTCCTGTGGAGAATAAGAACAGCCACTGGGTCAAATTACTCCTCAATGGGACTGCCACAGAGAAAAAAGAGAGTTCCGCCATGGGAATCTCCATCATAGCGCAACCTGAATGTAAGCTTTTGCCATTGTCTCCACCCCCACCAATCTGCTCCTCTTCCTTTATGTCTTATATAATTCATATTGTGACACTAAATTCTCAGAACTAATACAATAATGTTCTCCTGCTTCCCGCACAGACCTGTCCTGTTGCCTAATATTCCGGTTAATTCAAATTTGTATTTTTTTCTATGTTTTTACACATCCTGCTGTTACTTTATATCCAACATCTCCTACAGCTGAATATTTACATACCCCCCATTACAGCAGCACTGCCTTCTAAAGCTGTATGTAAACACTCAATTTTATTTTCCTCAATTTCCAGGTGAGAATAATCCACAGATATGCCCAACTTCCCAAGAAGGTCCTATGTACAACCAAGACTCAAAACAGTACAGGTAAGGAACCTGATAATCTGTGTGTCCTCTGGCATATAGACAACGCTGGTATATGCACCTCAAGTGAACTTTCGTTCTTCCTCCCTAGACCAGTGCAATCCATAGCTTTGGCTAGTACATTAATTCAGAGCCCCGGTTAGCGTTAAAAACCCAAAAGGAGTTTTAATCCTTCCCCACGATACCCAAAACTTGACACACACTTTAGCCAGCAAAAAAGCATGGTGTACTGGCTACCTGGACCTTGGGATTTGTCCGGCTCTGATCAATATGCAGAGGTGAAAGGCCAAAAGCACCACTGCAAACTGGCAACACAAAAGCTTTTCAGTACTCGTGCACATTTCAACCTTCTGATTGCTGTTGCCTTCATATAATAATGTCACATAATGAATAATTTTATTATATAATAATAAAAATAAGAGTTAACTATCCCCCCGCCCATTCTCTTGCCAACTTTCAAATAACCGCATGCCATAAGTCTCCTCTTGTAAGTTCTAATGACCCATAGATGTTCTGTTCCATTTCTGTCAGTGAGGGGGTGTGGGATGATACTGCCCCAGTGTGATCAATATTGACTTTTTCACTACTTTTTCTAGTCTGGCTGAAAGCATCGAGCACATCCCAAACAATGTAGTGCATTCTACAGAGGGTAAACCAGCACAGCCGAAGCGATTTAGCAAAAGTAAAAGGAAGAGGCGTAAAAGGAGCATTAAGGAAGACGGCCAGAAGCCAGCCAAAAGAGGCCAGACCACTCCAGAACAGGAAACACTAGCTCCAGTGCCCGTACAGGTAAGAGTTTCACAACCTCAACACCCAATACGATATTTGAAGCCAGAGAGCCATCTGGTGGTAGTTAAGATTAAGACTCTCTCCCGTGTGTTTCTGATCTACAATGCTATAAAACTTAATTCTGCATGCATATCTAGTCCCTTTTTTAAACAGGTGTTGGTGATCTCTAAAATTCTGCAAGTGAACAAGTGATGCCAGAGTCTGTTAGAGCAACCTAGAGCACAAAAAATGGTTTTCTCCAAACCCACCAACATTTCAATTTTGGAAGTCCCATGTCAACACTACCCTAACTAGGTGAAAGGCAACATTTCAGCCTAGGGCTTGTCCCATTTGTAGAATGGATGACTCTCCTCACCTGAACTAACATCACCATCCCTTACAGCAGCTACAACAGCAACCCCCCTCCCTGATGACCTAGGGACATAAGAATGCAAAGCTCCATATCATAAGGGTAGACTCTTAACTTCCTATATATGTATAGGATTTACAGTTTTCCAGTTGAACATATGGGCAATGTATTGACACACAACCTTCTTTTGAATATGCTTTATTATGATATGATGATACAGGAGTGGTTATACAGATGCTGCAATATCCACTCTTCGCTGGACTGAGCATAAATGTTACACCCTGATCTTTCTCTTTGAATGTTCACAGTGTCAATGTAGTTCACATTTATTTTTAATTTTATTTGGATGAGGGGATTTCAAATGGGGTATGTTTGCTTACTTGTTAAACAAATCTCTTAAAACCCTCTCAATAAAATTACTCGATATGAAAAAAAAAACCATTGAGCCCCAATATTATGAACCCCATGCTGTTCAGATGCATTCCGTTTTTGCATTCAAAATGACTTGCAATGTCTTTTTTTTTACCAACTAAATGTGTATTATGATACCACAGGATGATGAATCTCAATCAAAGCCATGGGGTGACATACTGGACTATTGCTCCAAGCAGCAGAACAGCAGGAAAAATATTGGTTATCGACCTGAGAACATACAGCCAATTGATGGCAACAAAAACTGTCTTCACAAGCTCATCAGCCCATTTCAGTCTGTGTATCACATGGGAGGTGGAAAACTGCAGCAGCCTAGTTCTCCGTATTTCAATGATCGGCTGTCTGGAATTATCAGTACCTTGGGACTAGACGGCTGTGAAGACAAAGTCAACACACAGTGGAGCTATGCTAAGCTCATAGACTCCTGCACAGACTCAAAAACCCATTCTGTGGAAGAGGGGGTGTTGTTAGCTCTGAGGGGAAGTGTGAGCGTTGACAAACCAGACAAGCTGTGTCTAATCGCTAAGGCCTGGGAGAAAGATGATGATGACTCAGAGCCTGTGGACAATGAGGGGATCTTGTTCAAAGAGGTAAGAAACTTGCTGCTATCCCTATTCATCGCAGTTCCTGCACACTCCTTACTTATTCATTTTCTTGGACCACACTGAGGAAAAGTGGTATTAAATAGCCACTCTAAGAAAGAGCAATATTATATAAAGAGTTTATGGTCTATAAATAACAACCACTCTGTATGAACAGATGGATACACAAAACAGGCAAAAAAGTTATAAATTGTAGTGAAAAGTCAGACTGAGCCATCCAGACTGCACTGTGAGTTGCCATGTTTAAGTTTTACCTATGGTCTGTAGACAACAGGCCTTTTCCATGAGACTGTAAATAGATCAGGAAAATTTACTCAAATTTTTTTAAAATATATAGTCAAAAGGTCTGTGTATATACAGTGTATGTGTAAATATATATGCATTTGAGATGCTTCTAAATTCCATATCGGGTATATTTGACCTGCTATGACCTCCTCTCAAAGTGAAGTTGATCAACTTCTGAAGTAAAACTGACTTCCTTGTAAAGTGCAGTTAAACAACTATTAAAGTGCAGCTGACCTCTTTGTAAAGTGCAGTTGATCATCTTCTGAAGTTGACCTCCTTGTAAAGCACAGTTGATCATCTTCTGAAGTTGACCTCCTTGTAAAGTACAGTTGATCGTCTTCTGAAGCACAATTGACCTCCTTGTAAAGTACAGTTGATCATCTTCTGAAGTTGACCACCTTGTAAAGTACAGTTGATCATCTTCTGAAGCACAGTTGACCATCTTCTGAAACACAGTCCTTGTAATGTACAGTTGATCAACTATTGAAGCACATTTGACCTTGTAATGTACAGTTGATCATCTTCTGAAGCACAGTTGACCATCTTCTGAAACACAGTCCTTGTAATGTACAGTTGATCAACTATTGAAGCACATTTGACCTTGTAATGTACAGTTGATCATCTTCTGAAGCACAGTTGACCATCTTCTGAAGCACAGTTGACCTCCTTGTAAAGTACAGTTGATCAACTATTGAAGCACAGTTACCTCCTTGTAATGTACAGTTGATCAACTATTGAAGCACAGTTGACCTTGTAATGTACAGTTGATCATCTTCTCTAGCACAGTTGACCTCCTTGTAAAGTACAGTTGATAATCTTCTCTTTTTTTTCTCCGGTGTGCACGTTTCCCCTCTTTTCCTCATTTTATTCTCCGGTGTGCACCTTTAGAGTTTCTCCCCTTTTTTTTCTCCTCTTGGACAGTACACCGTAGAGTGCTAACATACATGTTAATAGATGCATTGTATAACACAAGCTCATACATTTTCCTTTAGGGAATGATTCCTGAAGATTATGAATATCGAGAAGATATCCATTGGGACAAATCTGGAGATGTTCTAGGCAGTGGTGCTTTTGGGGATGTTTACTTGGGAAAGGACAAGACATCTGGATTTCAATTTGCAGCCAAAAAGGTATGAAAAGACTGTTTTTTGGTTTTGCCAGAGGAAATCTGGCCCAATCCTCCTGGCTAACTCTCTTTTCACTGTCTCCTACCTACTTTAATATGCAACATCTTTCCTTCTCACCAACAGATCCCTGTTAACAGATTCAGATCTCAGGAGTTGACCTGTTGCCTGTCTGTGAATTCTGAAAAAATAGTCCCAGTGTACGGGGCAATCCGAGAAGGACCCTGGATCACTGTGTTTATGAAGATGTTGAATGGTAACGTGTTTTACTATTTATATTATTAAACACTATTCTCCATAGTACTATAACCTGCGTAAAAAACGCATTTCATTATATAAGTGTACTAACTTAAAGTGACATTAAACCTCAGATTGTTTAACATAAAACAATACTGTAATGTGTGCCTTACTGTAATCCATGGTTGTTTCCCTTCTCTTTGCTGCTCTTCCTTTTAAATCCGTATCTCTTCTCATGCTGGGCAGAACTTCTGTTTTGCAGCAGACTGCCTTGTCTCTGGAATGGATACATGGTGTCTGTGTGCAGGTTCACAACCTGAGCCAGTACTACAGGAAGAGGCACTCAGCTGTAAAGGGAAGTTCTCCCCCAGCATGAGAAGAGATGCGGATTTAAAAGGAAGAGCAACAAAGAGAAGGAAAACTACCATGGATTACAGTAAGGCACACATTACAGTATTGGTTTATGTAAAACAAATGTGAGGGTTTAATGTCACTTTAAGTTAGTTTTGCTCCCAAACTTTTTTCAGCTTTGAATGGAGTGGTGAGGGGTTGTTGTGCATGCCCCTGCTAGTTAGATTTACCCTTTCTATTTTTACTGATGACCTTTGTGGTCAGTATTAAAAGTGAAAGAAAATCCAAGTTTTTGAGTTGTGACCTGAACAGGAATAGAGAGCAAATCTTCCAGTGGTGATATCTGCTACTGTTGCATTCACCATAAAACATGCAATATAATACAACTGGTAATACAATTCAATAACAGTCTATATTCTGTCTTTCAGGAGGCTCTCTGGGCCAGATGATCAAGAGACGTGGCTACCTAACAGAGGACAGAGCTCTCTATTACTTGTCACAAGTTTTGCAGGGCCTCAAACATCTCCATACTGACAGAGTAGTACACGGAGATGTTAAAGGTAAACTCCATATACCTTATTTTCAATACAGTGGCTGAGCTCCCGCCATGTTTTATGGATTCTTACAGCCCAACTGGACTTTCAGTTTAATCAGCTGAGCACATTCCAGGTGCATTAAAACAAAAGGTATTCCATGTCTTACTATTTGTTTTCTTTCTAAAGCAGCCGCAGCCCAAGTATGAAAGCCTGGCCTCTGCCGACATGCTTCAGGAAACAACCTTTGCACTGTGTGGTAGCAGTGGTCTTTCTGTGGAGGACTGACACACTTTCCGCTAAGTCAGAGCTAGGGCTCCTTAACCAGAAGAGAGAACAAGCTTTGCTGATTGCAGAGCTATAGGTCCGACTCATACTGGGCCTTTCGGAAAGCTGCAAAGAGACCACTGTTTCCACACACAGAGCAAGGGTCTTGTTCTGCAAGCTGGCAGGGGACGAGCTCTAAAACTCAAGCTGTGACTGCTTTCTAATTAAAATGAAGTGTAACACCTTGCCAGCCTTTTGTTTTGATGCATTCAGAATGTATTTAGCGGCTTTAAACTGCAAGTCCACTTGCGCTTTAACATGCTGCCCGGTGTTTTGTATAAGCTCTGAGTCTAATGCTATGAGACTTCAGTTCAAATTCTGCAATGTTCCCTGTGCTCACTCTGATGCACCCTTCTCCAAATGTCTACCTAAACCATCTTGTCTATTTACAGCTGACAACGTTCTGCTGAGTGAAGACCGTAGCACAGCATACCTGTGTGACTTTGGGCACGCTGCTCACCTCCCTCCTGGTAGCTCTGGCATGCATCTATTGACAGGTGAGCAGTTTTGGTCTTATGTCACAGTAATACTATACTACAGACAGATATTCTATTCATAATTGTTCAGACCTTAGTCATAATTTCTGAAAGCTGGGGTAAGTAAAAATTGACACATTGAGGGGTTTATACAAGTCTTTTCTTGAATCTGCATGTAAATATATTATCTGACAAAGTGTATCTTAAAGTGAACCTGTCAAACCCCTAGGCAATTCAAGCTGATCACAGAATTTAAAAAAAAATGCATAGGCAGAGGTTACTGCCAGTAAAAATAGATTGTAGAAATAAAAGCAGCTGAATTTCTACACAATACCAACTTTTTCTGTAAAACTCAAACTTTACTTCTGAATCAAGATGTAGTGATCATCGTAACGTTTGACAGTAACTTCTGCTTACAGTGTATGACATTAGAATTTCCCAGTTTTGTAACAGGTTTACTGCTACTGCTCTCATAATAAAAAGCTCTGTGACCATGAGCTACTGAAGGTTATCTGGGAACAAAGAAAACTATTTTCAAATATTTTTGTGCTCTTTGAATGCTGAAAGTTGCTGCTGTGAGGTTATAGGCACGAGAGGGCTGGGAGCAGATAAATGACGGCCTCACGTTTGAAAAGCTCAGCAGTGGTGCACTTGGTTGTTGTGGTTTACACTTTTCCCCAACATAAAGGGTGCAGATACAATGCAAAATGCAGTGAGCCGAGGACTTCCCTAAGTAGCTGTATCCAGCAATTTCTCTTTTCATACCCTAGGGCATCACATGAACACACAATAGCTGCTCATGTGCTCAAAGCAAAATAACACATAAACTTGACATGTGATGTCATGCTTCGCAAGTGTATATATATATATATATACATACACATATCCCCAAACCTTACCGTTTCATTTATTAAATTTAAAAACTGTTACTTATAGTATTTTATTCCATCGTGATAACTGGTCTTCTTGTTTTACTGCAGCCAACTATGTACCAGGTACTGAGACGCACATGGCCCCTGAAATAGTGCGCGGGGATCCCTGTGGCACAAAACTAGATGTGTGGAGTGCATGTTGCATGCTTCTCCACATGCTAAATGGATGGCACCCATGGAGCCGCACACACACTTCACCCCTATGTCTGAAGGTAAGTACCATGCTCAGAAATTACAAGTTTTAATTTACTACACTCAAGAAGTGGGACATAACAATCTTTTCCTCTTTGTAGATTGCTACAGAACCTCCACCTTTGCAGGAGATTCCTCCTAGTAGCCACCCTCTAACCTGTGACCTTATAATGGCCGGATTACAGAAAGATCCAAATAACAGAGCAACAACTTTGGAGCTCAAACGCCGAGTGGATGAGGCACTAACAACAAGTAAGCACTGTGCCAAAATTCAATAATAGAGCCAACGTATGGCACTAAAATGTTCTTTTTTTGGGCAGTCCTGATAGTAATCATTGTCATTGTTTATAGGACTACTGAATATTGGGCAAGCTTAGCAGAAGACAGTCTAATTAATATTTTTTTCTCCATCAAACTAAGTAAGCCACGAGGCAGGGAAAAACACTGACTACAGGCTACTATGGCCTAAAGGTCAGACAAGATACTTGCGGCTCTCAGTTTGGGCAGTGGGTATATCACACAAAACATCTTCTGAGTGAATCTGGCCTTTAACCCTTTCGCTGCCAAGGACGTACGTCGTACGGAGCTACAAAAGTGCTTCCAGCTGGCCAGCTCAGTACGTCGTACGGACCTGGCATTTACAGTACAAATGATTTGCCCAATTTGTCTTCTGTGCCTAGCTGCCTTACTGTAAGATGCATATCTGCCTTTTGAGTTGTCAAAGCTGACCACCGTTTTTCTAACATTACTTTTTCAGTTGGAGGCCTGAGCTCTCCATGTGAATCAGAATACAGGGAACCCAGGAATTTTCCGTCAGCCAAAAAAGAACCTGAGACCACCCAGGCCAAACCCAAGCTGTTTCCTGAAGAACCTGGACCTGTGCTTAGCCAGCATGTCAAAAACATAACCCAAGACTCTTCTTTCACAACAAATGTCAGAAGTGTGGAAACCAGAACCTCATGTGAAATGGAGATTGAACGTCTAGAAATAGGTATACCTTCACAATTTTGCATGGGAAAATAGTGGTATAAAAAAGACCTGTAGTGTCTACTTGCAGTGTTCATGCAATAAAGGGTCTCCCTGTAGAACATCTATCACAGCAGCTATGAAAACCTTCTTTAAATGCTGTATACAGCAGTTTACAAGCACACCACTGAAAATCATGCAGCATTTGTTTTCCTATGTGATCAGAAAATGCTTCAATGTGCTTAAGAAATGTGTTTCTCAATGATTTTCTGTTGTTTCTGTAGACCTGTACAGGGAGAACCTTACACAACTATTCTCTCCTGAGGATACCCAGTTTTTCAGCAAGGACAGCCTGCATCCACTGCTCAGTGGCAAGGTATGGATATTGTATTTTTTACAGCATTTGCTTTTTCATTGTATCGTCTCCTTCCAAGAAGGTTTGGTCCACCTTAAGAACATATTTCAGACTAGGTAGATGCCTTTCAGCTAAATCACCCAAATGTTTGTCAATGCATCTGGAAGTGAGATCTCTGCCTTTGAGTCCATCCACTTACCAGAACCCTTACAATGAGGGTCCCTGCTGGATGTTTCATTATGGAGAATGCAGTAGAAAGAGAGCTCGTACTCTCTGCTCGGAGAAGTTTGCTGCTGGAGTATCAAAGATACTGATAATAAGGCTTTCTGTGTTTTAGACCTCCATGGCACCAGCCAGATGAGTTTATAGTTTACTCTCGAGACGGTTGACTTCAAAGTTAGAACCCTACTGTTTCATACATTTTGTCTTTCTTTTGCAATTCCTTTAAAAAATGGGGAAATCGTTTTTTCACTAACAGATTAAAAGGAAATCATATTTTTTTCCATCTACATGTAAAGTGGGCCATGCTTGGTATGGGATTTTGCCTTTCTCTTGAACAACTGTGGGTATAGACTGTTGGTCTGAATGAATTGAACTTGGAATACATGTATGTTTATTCCTATGCAACTCTGAATACTCAGTCACTACTCTCTTATCAACACTACAGGAATCTATGAACACTTTGGACACTGGAAGTTCTGGGATCCATTCATGGGACAGCCAGATGGAAGCTTGGAGCTTACAAAGCGACTCCCTGTTCAGCGGGGGAAGCACAACCACCCCTAGTTGGTTCAATGGTAGGTTCATTGAAAGACAACTTTCTTAGCCTGCACACGCAAAATTTTTTATGCTCTAGATCAGGGGTAGGCAAACTCCGGCCCTCCATCTGTGGTGAAACTACATTGTCATGCTTCTTCCTCTAGAAGTCACACCTGTGCCTATCAGAGTTCTGCAATGACTCATGGGATTTGCAGTTTCACCACAGCTGGAGGGCCACAGTTCTAACATCCGTGCTGTAGATCAATTTTCTGCCCAGGGATTCAATAATATAAATAACGTTGTAACTAGCATGTGCGAGGCTGGCCACATAATATGAGTTTTTTCTCATTCGGGGCTGCAACCCCTTGCTGGGCTATGGTAGTCTTAAAGCGGTGGGTGCGCTTCTGTTAGAATACCCAAACAGCAGCTGATCCTCTGCCAAAAGTTGATTGAAAAATAAACTTTTGTTGAGTGGGGAGGGCCACACACTGAAATTTGACCAGTGTATGGCCAACTTTAGCCAGAATACAGATACTGATCTCTCTTTCTTCATTTGTGTTTCAGGGGTAAAAGTACAATTGCAAACTTTCAGTGGCGAAACACTGCACATCTGGGAGTCTGGCAGAACCAAGTTGGGAGACCTGGCCGTGGGCATCAGCAGTCAGGTAAGAGACAGAACTTCGAGGCCTGCACCAAACATGACAGTAAACAAAGAATGTTCACTGTATGGTTCTACTCTAGAAAAATGTACCTCAACCAAATTAAAATAAAAGGTCCATCGTACTAGGCCTAACATAAAGAGACACATCAGAAGCAAGTAACGCCACGTTATCTTCATACGAAATATAAGTACAATAACACACAGCAATGGCCAATGAACTACATTGCACAAATTTGCTATTCGAATATCTGAATTAAATGTATTTCTCTCTCTTTTGTCCAGATCCCAATCAAACCATTCACTATAGTAAATTCAGATGGAAATCCCATCCCGTGGAAGACAGATATTGCAGACTGCGATATTGAACTGAAATGTTCCTTAGCTCAAGACCGTGGAGGCACCTGGCTCTGGAGGGTCAGGAAGGGGAAGATAGAAGAGGGCCATCTGGAGGTGGCAGATACTGGTGGAGGAAGAGATGGTTCAATCATCCTTATACCAGAGTGATCACTGCATATATGGACCTTATACTGTTTAACATACGTCTTGCAGAAAGGCCTCTCATACACAATAGATGATGGTTATACTTCACGTCATCAGTGAAAGTATCTTTCTGTGTCCAACATACACGTATGTTCTTATTGTACAATTTGTGAACATGGTAACATATCCACACTTGCAAAAACAAACATTAGGAACAATGGGGAATATGCCTGAAACTTGTGAAACAATCACCTAATTTAAGGTAATCTGCTGTGATTATTCATGTCACGTATTTTTAAAATAACTCCAAGGTTTCCGAGCCATTTCTCTGATTTCATAAAAGAAGGTGCTGCCTTGTCTGCTGTGACTGGCCGAAGTTCTAGTTGTCATGTGACTGAACATGGATGTGTTGGTTTTACTAACAGCAACTGACCAGATTCTTAGAAAAGCACCCTTTAGAAAACTAATAGTAACACCTGGTTGGTTGCAGTGTGTTGGTTATACACCACGTAGTCTCTTGCTCTACACTTGCCAAATGATATATTCGAGTCATTTCTATAATGTGAAAAAAAAGCTGAACTGTCTTAAAGTTTCCTTGCACAAGACACTTTAATTACATGAGTCCATAAATGTTACTAATCATTAGAGTTGTATGTACATACAGGGTGACCGTCTACAGATAGCCAAGGGTGTCATTTTATACATTAAAAAGGTAACTACAGTGGCGGGGAATTAACAAAGATTCCTGCGGCATTATAATGGCACAGGAAAATGGTGCAAGGGACATGCACCACAATAACAAAGCAGATAGAGCTGTCTCTGTCTCTCTGTGCCACTCGCACCAGTTTTTATATCAGAGCCTAATAATAATTGTTCTCAATATAGAACACTACCGCAGATGGCCGCCAGATTGGACCTGGAGTATGCAATGTGAACTGTCTGCCGGTAGCCTAGCAGGCGGCTCACATGTTTCTCTCACTGCCTGTGCAGTGAACACACTACAGGGATAGAGCCTTTATATAGGCAAGGAAAGCTCATTCTCCTGCCTATATGCCTGGCTGTTAACCCTGGCAAACACAGGGTTAACAGTCTTTCTCTCAGCTGGTGAAGGAAGGGGGGGCGGGGGTAGTATGAGCAAGCAGCTCCAGCTCTCTATACCTTGTCTGGCACGGATAGAAAATGGAGCAGATTGCATCTCCTTTGTTAATTAAAAGTAGGATCTGCTCCGCTTTCTCTGTTTAGAAGTCAGCACCACTGTTTGCAAATTAATTTCCACCCAGTGTGTTTATTTATCTTCTCTGTATACGTGAAACAGATCAACTTAATGTAAATAATCTGACTGCTGTCTTTTGGGATCTTAGAAACCTTGTTTGTAATGTAAAGTCTGTAGTAATATACAGTATAAACATGGGAACAGTATATTAACCGTTGTGCCTTGCTGATCCTCTCATTTCACTGCAAGTCTACCAGACAGGGTCTTTTTTTATGCTCAATGCAGTCTCTAATGACATAAAAACACCCACAGTGCCAGAGATCGTGTTGTTTTTCCTGCCTAGACACTTATTAATGAAAAATGTGAATTTTAATAACTGAAAGATTCCTAAAAATGCATCCCATAAATACACTAGGTGCTAGTTGCATCATCATGGTTAGAGGCACTGTGCCATAAACCATAGCAAGGCTGACATATAAGACTGGGTTGTGCCAGATGCCATTGTGGAGATGAGTAACAACACTGTTGCAAATGTGGAACTGTTTCCCTTAGCGTTTAGTCAGGGAATTCCTAGATAATGAAACCCGAATTGTAATTAGTTGTTATCGGAAGCATTCCTAATGAGGAAGCGACATTTGTAATGTTTTAGATATACATGTATAAGAAATCAATTTAATGTACATAATATTATCAGTGTGTGTTTTGCATTAAAAACCATGTGTATTTGTAGAGTATGTCCTTATCTGTGTGCACCAGTGTAACCTATTTTGCCACTTTTATCTTACTGCTCACTGAAATCAACAGAATCTCTGCAGTAGTGATTGGCTGCTGGAGACCATGTGATCTAGACTTGCCAAGGCTGGGAGTTGGGAAACAGCACTATTTTCTTTGTGGTCCTTTCCTAATTCAAATTAAAAATGTATTTGATAATCCTTGCACATGCTCTACTCATTTATGTGAAGTGTAATGGCGGGTCCACTTTAAGCTATGTACTATCATTGCTACTAAACCACACCCCACAAAAACCCCCAGTGCCTTTACCTTGTGAAATGAATGCTACTATGGCCGCTTGGTAAAGAACCAGTTTGCCCAGTGTCCGTACTAACAGCAGGCAACTGAGCGTCATATGGAAAGGTCCTGCTGACCTTGCTGAAATTTTAGCTGTGGAAGGCGCCTACATCCATCCCTGCATTCAACAAAAGTCGATTTTTCAATCCAAAATAACCAGGCCGAACAGTGAATGCAGCTGGTTGGGGTATTCTGACAGCGGCAGATGCCAGTTGTCAGACTACAATAGCTTGGTAGCGGAGATTCCCCTATATATGCTATGCAGCGTGAATGTGGGAATTGAGTGTTAATTTACTCAATCAGGGCTGAAAGAGACAAAACTTCATGTGTATGGCCAGCTTTAATTTAAAGGATATTTAAACCCTCCCGTTTTTTTGCATATATCTATTGCTAGCAAGCAGTAGATATATGCAAAAAGTTTTTTCTAAAAACAAAACGCTCAAACAGCAGTTTAGACTCACCTGTGTTCTGTGCGCGGTCCCGTGCCGAAAATTAGAAATTTCACGAGCGGCCGCAAAGGATCTTGGGGCGCGTGCATGCGCAGTTCTCCTTTTCGGCTGGGATGCGACGAGGGACGCAAGGTAAGTCTTTGGACGCGTGCACCCGCATACAGACACCGCTGGATCGGAGGGACAGAGCAGTCAGCGCTGGATCGGAGAGCCGCCGCACCGCTGGAGAGAAGGCTGAAAACATCAGGAAAGAAGAAGAGGAAGATTGGAAAAAGAGACATCATTTAAGGTAAGTGCTAACATTAACATTGGGGGAGGGAAAAAAGTTTTTGCCTTTTAAATGTCACTTTAATGCTGACCCTAAACCAGGGGTGGGCAACTCCGGCCCTCCAGCTGTGCTTTTGCTACAAACTTGATAATCCCTCTGCCTCTGGGAGTTATGTCTGTGGCTGTCAGGGTCTTGCAATGCTTCATGGGACTTATAGTCCGCTAACAGCTGGAGTGCGGTAGTTGTCCACCCCTGCCTTAAATGGTACTGTCTGAAAATAGGCTCGCCTAGGTTCATGGTGGTATCTGCCCCGATTCCTGTTAGTATCGGTTGCAGATTTCCTAAATCTGAACCCAGTGATGTTTCTTATGAAATGGTAGGTGACTTTTGGCTGACCTTTTATCAAAACTGGAGCAGGCAGAATGGCTACCAATCAGCTTCTTTCTTTCATTTTCAAAGCTTAACTGAACAAACTGAAGAGAGAAGCTGATTGGTTACTATGGATAACTGCTCCAGTTTTGGTAAATTTCGCCTACAGTATCACCACAAACAAATCAACAGATGTCTGCAGCAGAGAATGACGATCTGTCTCCTACGTTCTCAGGCTGAGAAAAAGATGGCAAAACAACCCAATATGCAACTCTTATATATGGTTCTTGCTTACTGTACAATTGGTGAATGCAAAGAATCCATCTCTGCATACAGTGCTATTTTTCTTTGTCTGGTAATGCTGGACACTGAACCTCGGACCAGCCGGAAATATATGTTAAAAGACACAAATATCCGATGGCTACCCCTAAAACAACACTTAGCATTTGAGATTCCCAAAAAGGTAGAACTTGTAAAAGAATCAAATTATAAATTGATTATAATGCTGTAATCATAGTCATTTGTGAGGTAACTTGATTTGCATTTATGTTAATAGTGATGTGTCAAAGGTAATAGCATTCTAGACATGTGAAAATGTAGTAGAAACATGATGTAATGAATGAATGAATGGGTGCAATAAATCAATAGAGGTCATTGTAATTCTTTGTAATCTTTTACTAAAAATCAAAATAAAGCTAAATGTGCATTAATACAGCAAGTTGTCTGTGTGTATATTACAGATATTTGTGCTTGGGCTTATGTCTTGGTAATACTGTGCTGAGTGCTTGACTCGGCTGATTTTCAAGCTGTGTATTGCGAACTTAAAAGACCTAAAATCAAACCTTTTTTTTGGCTTTACTTCTCTTTTGGGTCACAGGAGTATATTCACCCATGTCCTCCCGTGATCCAAAGCCAGCGTATAGAGGGCTATTGCCCGCTATTTGCTGACAGTTTAGAGCTGTGCTGCAGCCTGGAAGGACAATATTGCCAGGATCCATCCAGCTGTCTGATTGACAGCTGACTCTGCCTCTCTAGAGCCAGAGCCAGCTGTGCCCGCCCTTTCAATGAGCCCTGGAGGAACACAGAGGAGAATCCCTGCGGGGAACGGTGACTGGCTGTCATTGTTCTCTGTAGGGAGGAGACTGTGAGCTGAGTGATCAGCGGTCACGATCACTCAGCTCTCAGTATAGAAAGCTGATGTGTGACAACTGCAGTGTCACACACCAGTTCTAGCTATTGAGAAGAGTAGATTTTACTCTCCAAAAACTTCTATAAAGGGTAATTCCACTTTCTCAAGTGAATTTTGGAAAATGGAATTACACCCCAAAACCAAGAGCCATGCCCCCCC